TGGGATGACTTAGCTGGGAATTGGTCCTGCTTTGAGCAGGGGGTTGGACTAGATGACCTCTTGAGGTCCCTTCCAACTCTGATATTCTATGATTCTATGATTCTATGGAGTTCCTCAGGGATCAGTTTTGGGACCAATCTTATTTAATCTTTTTATTACTGACCTTGGCACAAAAAGTGGGAACGTGCTAATAAAGTTTGCGGATGACACAAAGCTGGGAGGCATTGCCAATACAGAGAAGGACCGGGATATCATACAGGAAGATCTGGATGACCTTGTAAACTGGAGTAATAGTAATAGGATGAAATTTAATAGTGAAAAGTGCAAGGTCATGCATTTAGGGATTAATAACAAGAATTATTGTTATAAACTGGGGACGCATCAGTTGGAAGTAACAGAGGAGGAGAAGGACCTCGGCGTAATGGTTGATCACAGGATGACTATGAGCCGCCAATGTGATATGGCCATGAAAAAAGCTAATGTGGTCTTGGGATCCATCAGGCGAGGTATTTGCAATAGAGATAAGGAGGTGTTAGTACTGTTATACAAGGCACTGGTGAGAACTCATCTGGAACACTGTGTGCAGTTCTGGTCTCCCATGTTTAAGAAGGATGAATTCAAACTTGAACAGGTGCAGAGAAGGGCTACTAGGATGATCCAAGGAATGGAAAACCTGTCTTATGAAAGGAGACTCAAAGAGCTTGGCTTCTTTAGCCTAACCAAAAGAAGGCTGAGGGGAGATGTGATTGCTCTCTACAAATATATCAGAGTAATAAATACCAGGGAGGGAGAGGAATTATTTAAGCTCAGTACCAATATGGACACAAGAACAAATGGATATAAACTGGCTATCAGGAAGTTTAGACTTGAAATTAGACGAAGGTTTCTAACCATTAGAGGAGTGAAGTTCTGGAACAGCCTTCTAAGGGGAGTAGTGGGGGCAAAAGACATCTGGCTTCAAGACTAAGCTTGATAAATTTATGGAGGGGATGGTATGATGGGATAGCCTAATTTTGGCAATTAATTGATCTTGGATTATTAGCGGTAAATATGCCCAATGGCCTGTGATGGGACACTATATAGGGTGGGATCTGAGTTACTACAGAGAATTCTTTCCTGGATGTCTGGCAGGTGAGTCTTGCCCACATGCTCAGGGTTTAGCTGATGGCCATATTTGGGGTTGGGAAGGAATTTTCCTCCAGGGCAGATTGGCAGAGGCCCTGGGGGTTTTTCGCCTTCCTCTGCAGCGTGGGGCACAGGTCACTTGCTGGAAGATTCTCTGCACCTGAAGTCTTTAAACCATGATTTGAGGACTTCAATGGCTCAGACACAGGTTTGATACAGGAGTGAGTGGGTGAGATTCTGTGGCCTGCGTTCTGCAGGAGGTCAGACTAGATGATCATAATGGTCCCTTCTGACCTTAAAGTCTATGATTCTACTGAAAGCCCAATAGGGGAAAGTGAGGCCTAGACGTAATTGTGACGCTGCACCAGGCTGCCATGGGGTGCTCCAGGGGCAAGGGGACCCCTGTTACAGGGCAGTGTAAGCATATGAATATACATTTGTGGCCAAGAGAACGAAGCAACACAACAGGAAGGGGGAAGGTTACCCACACTTTGAGCCTGGGCCTCAAGCTTCTCTTCCCAGAAAACAGGATCCTGGAAGTACTTGAGTCTGCCCTCAGCTGCAGGAGGTGCATGTGTGTATATGACATGCCTCTCCACCCAAGCAGGAAGTACATGGAGTTACCCAGCATTCCTTGCACAACAAACCCAGGCTCTACATAGGTCAGACTGTAAAAGGAGAGGTGGGGGGGGGCTGAAAATTGAGGTGCCCCCCCATTGCGATTCTCATTGGACAGGGGGCTCCAATCTGGAATGGGTGTTTTGGGCACAAGCCTTCTGCCCTTCTTCTGATTCCCACCAGACGTTCAAACACGATGGGCCTGACACTCCATCCACCCTATAGAACACAACTTCACCAACCAGCAACAGAAAAAGCCACCCCATATAGTCCTTCCCGGGCTGGGCAATGACTGCCCCAAGCTCCTGACCCGCGTGCCCCCAGAATGGCCCCTCACCTTCGTCCTGAGGTAGGCGGAGCCACGCTCACAGCGGATCCCTCCTGTACAGTACATCAATACGCGCTTGTTTTTAAAAAGCTCGAGATTGTCGTCTACGTAGCTGGGGAAGTAGCTGAACTTCCTGATGTCTGGAGCCAGGCAGCCCTGGAAATGACCCTGTAACAAGAAGAGACGGCTGTGTGATCGACAGCGCTGGAGAAAGGGGGAGAGAACCCTCCAGGTCACTGCAGCTACTTTGGCTCCTCTAAGGGTATTTAGGCACCTAACTTCCACTGATTTCAATGGGAATTAGTTAAGCGCCTAAATACCTTTGTGCCTCACAGCATCTGGAATCTGGTCTTATAGCCAAGACATCCTACCCTGTCACCCCAGTGTGAAGGGATCTACCGAGGCTCCTCTCTGCGGCTGGAGGATGGGGACTTGGTCAGGATGTCTCTCTGCTGCACTATGGCCAAGGCAGGGTGGACTTTGGCTGGCTCAGCTAGATTTCAATGGCTTTTCTCTGTTGTTAAAGCTTTGGCGTCCCCCGTCTGTTTCACGTCAGACTACACATGCTGCAGGACAGTGTGCTGTGCGCTGCGCTGTAGGACCACCCCTCAGCATGGCCCTGAGAAGCCAGGCAGGTCCTTTGCTGCTTGGGGCGATGTACCATTCGTGAACTGGCACCAGGAGAGAGCTGCAAGGTAGTATGGCAATCCCTTCCCCTCAGTCACATCACCCACACATGCGGACAGGGTGAAATGATCCCCCCACCCACCACCACCACCTCGCAGGGAGCAAATGCACAGCACTTACTATTTTACTTTCATAAAAGTTCCTGCAGTCCAGTAAAATGGTGTCGCTTTGTGCTTGAGGAGCCTGAGATAAATATTTTTCTACTTCTTTATGAAATTCCTCAGGGGATAAATGGATTCCTAGAAATAAAACACCACATCGAAAGAAGCTCTGAAAAGCTGAGCTGATTTAAATGCTGACCAGCTGAGCAATTCCGCTTGGCCTCCCCCTAACCCAGCAGTGACCCATGTGTATGACAAGCTTCTCTGGGAAGTGAGCGCTACTGAAATGTCAGCTGGTCTCAGCCCAAACGTACTGGGCACATTTCTCTGTGACATCACTCCACAGGCTCAGTGAATGAACAAATGCATCACAGCAGGAGTCAAGGGCAAAAAGGATGCCAAGCTGTCATCTGTCTTAGAGTGGGCTGGGTGGAACAGCAGTGCTGATCCTCTGCTGCCTTGCCCGGTCATTTACACCCCTCGTGTGCAAAACACTGGCCTGCTGACTGGTGGCCTTTTACACTCACTCCACCGAGGGTAAATGGTGACACAAGGTGCAGGGCTGGGGAGGATCAGGCCCTGAATGGTCTGGGCCAGCAGGGTCTGAACAAAGGACGCAGAAAGGTATCCCCACCTGCCGCCTCTACACTAATGAGCCTGACCTAGAGGAGGTATCAAGAAGTGGCTCACGCAGAGCCAAGCTGCTCTATTATGTCAATGTAAGCCCAGACGAACTCCACTGCTCTCCACAGCATCTCCGAGCAACAGCACCCTTGGGGGTCATTTGTCTTTGTAGAGGGCCCCGTCACATCTAAGGGAACAGGCTGGCTCGCCTGCCCGATGGCGCCAAAGATTGGATAACAATGCCATGTTTACAGAAAGCTACCCTGGGGGGCAGCACACGTGCTCATGAAAGGTGTTGCATTGTCAGCCTTGGAGAATGAAGCAGATCAGGCTGGCTCAGCAATCAGTGGCTTGGCTTAGTGAGCAGCTCTGTAGCTTCATTTGTAATGTAGATGTTTATGGTCATTCAAGTCTACCGACTACTGGGGCCATTGTCCGCAGGCAGCACCTTATGCTTTTCGGACATGTCGCAAGAATGCCACGAACACCATTCTCCGGGTGGCTTGTAACATCCGGGATAAAATTCCACCAACCGAGGGGTGGAGGCGGCCCAGAGGCAGACCCCCATTACATGGGTTGGCAGCTGGTATCAAGCAGAGTGCCCCAAGGGTCAGCCCTGGGGCCGATTTTCTTCATTGATGATCTGGAGGATGGCGTGGATTGCACCCTCAGCAAGTTTGCAGATGACACTAAACTGGGAGGAGTGGTAGATACGCTGGAGGGTAGGGACAGGATACAGAGGGACCTAGACAAATTAGAGGATTGGGCCAAAAGAAATCTAATGAGGTTCAACAAGGACAAGTGCAGAGTCCTGCACTTAGGAAGAAAGAATCCCATGCACTGCTACAGACTAGGGACCGAGTGGCTAGGCAGCAGTTCTGCAGAAAAGGACCTAGGGGTTACAGTGGACAAGAAGCTGGATACAAGTCAACAGTATGCCCTTGTTGCCAAGAAGGCTAACGGCATTTTGGGCTGTATAAGTAGGGGCATTGCTAGCAGATTGAGGGACATTATCATTCCCCTCTATTTGACATTGGTGAGGCCTCATCTGGAGTACTGTGACGTCTCAGCCAGGTGTCAATGAAATCAAATGGACCATCATCTGGGAAAGCAGCCATTTTGGGGCAGGAAAAAGGGTGTGAGCAAGAAATTTACATCTTGGAAAAGAAACAGCTGGACGTTCCCATCCCTACAGACTTCCTGTCTCCTGAACCCCAGCTGGAGAGGATTCTCCAAGAAAAGGAAGGGATAAGAATGGAGGACAGATGCCCTCAAAGAGGTCTCCCTTCATCTCTAGTCATGGCATTGACAACACTTGAAGGATGAAGGAAGCATCACTGGACTGGGGAGAGATCCTGGCTGAGAGGAATTCAGCCAGCAAGGCTGGTATAACAGGTGAGGAGAGAGACTTTTGCTTTGAATTCACTTAGCTTGTTAAGTTGGGTGTTAGTTTGTGTTTTACCTTTTATTTCCTTATAATCAATTTTGACTTTCACGCCTCATTACTTGTAATTGCTTAACACCTCTCTTTCTGTCGTTAATACATTTGTTTTACTGTTTCATCTAAACCAGTGTGCTTGGATTGAAGTGCTTGGGAAACTCCATGTGAGGTAACAGGATTTGTGCAAATCATTTTCTATTAATAAAATGATGGACTTTATATGAGCTTGTGTTGTGCAGGAGGGAGCTGGGCAGTACAAGATGCACATTTCTGGGGGAAAGTCTGGGACTGGGAGTTTTCTGCTGTTGCCCTGCAGTACAATCCAAGAGTGGCTGGCCATGGGACTCATACAGTATAGCTGGGAGTAATTTACATGCTGGAGGCTGTGTGTGGGCAGACCAGGAGTAGTTGTTGTTGTTCTCTCAGCCAGCCAGGTTGGAGAACTGAGGATGCAGTTTAACAGTCCAGATTGTACCCTGGGTAATGTCACACAGGGGCCTCGGCTAGAAGATCCCAGTGCAGGAGTGGGGCCATAATTTGCACTAATCAGCTTGTGGTAAAGACAGCACAAAATAGAAGATCATATTGATACGTGAAGTCTACAGCAGTATCACAGCAGAACTCACAGTTAGGGCCTGATCCTGCTCCACTGAAATCAATGGGAGCTTTGCCATTAGCTTCACCCAGAGCCAGACTAGAGCCTTATGTCCCAGTTTAACAAAGCACTTAAGCACATGCTTAAAGCTAAGCACAGGCTTAAGTGCTTTGTTGAAGTGGGATGTTAGGATCTGTTCCAAAACCTAACACCAATTGAGGGTCTCCCATTAACCCCAGTGGGCTTTGGATTAGGCCCTTCATGTACAGCAGGGGTCAGCAATCTTTCAGAAGTTGTGTGCTGAGTCTTCACTTATTCACTTTAATTTAAGGTTTCGTGTGCCAGTAATACATTTTAACGTTTTTTAGAAAGTCTCTCTCTATAAGTCTATATTATATAACTAAACTATTGTTGTATGTAAAGTAAACAAGGTTTTCAAAATGTTTAAGAAACTTAATTTAAAATTAAATTAAAATGCTGATCTTACGCCGCCGGCCCACTCAGCCCGCTGCCGGTCTGGGGTTCCGTTCACCCAGTTTGGCAGCGGGCTGAGCGGAGCTTGCGGGACCCCGGCTGGCAAGGGGCCAGCAGCCAGGACCCAAGACCGGCAGCGGGCTGAGTGGGGCCGACAGCTGGGACCCCAGACCGGGGGTGCAGGTGGGAATGTGGGGGGGGGTGCAGGAGTCCCGTTTGGTGCTCAGGGTGGGGGTGAGGATGTGGGGTGTGCAAAAGTCAGGGCATGGAGTGGGTGGGGGCTGGGTATGTGTGGGGGGTGCAGGAGTCAAAATGAGGGTGCTGGGTCAGGGCAGAGGGCTGGGTGTGTGTGAGAGGGGGGGCAGGGGTCAGGGCAGAAGGCTGTGTGTGTGTGTGTGACGGGGTTCAGGGGTCAGGGCAGAGGGCTGGGTGTGTGGGGTGTTCAGGGGGTCAGGGCAGAGGGCTAGAGGGGATATGCCCCGTCCCCACCTCTTCTCCCAGGGACCCGTGCCCACCTCTTCTCTGCCTCCTCCTCAGAGAAACGAGCATGCTGTGGCTCCGCTCCCCCTCCCCCTCGCAAAGGCGATCAGCTGATTGGCGGCAGGGAGAGGGAGTGCGAGTGGGAGGGGCAGGGAAGCACCACACTGGAGGAAGAAGCGGGGGAGGGGGAAGCTTTTCTGCCGGCAAGACCAAGCTTCTGCTTCCTGCCCCCACAGGAGAGAACGGTGGGCGGGGGGGCTGAGTGGGGCCGGGACCCCGGCAGGCGGCAGGGTGCCATTAATAATCAGCTTGCGTGCCGTCTTTGGCCCGTGTGCCACAGGTTGCCGACCCCTGATGTAGAGTTTGGATCTGAGGAATTAACAGGCTATCTGCAGTAATTATTGGCTCTTTGTGAAATATCAAATGCAGCAGCAATACTTACACCGCAAGCTCTACTAGGCTTACAGTATTTGTGCTGTAAAGGCAATTTCACAGCTGTATGAAATATCCACATCTCATGCATATTTAAAGCAATTATAAATATTTCTTGTGCTCAAAAACTCCTCCAAATCATTGCATTATTAATTATATATAGTTTCTCCTTACATCCTCTCTTACCCAGGATGACTTTTCAAGTGTTATGTGGTTCATTCTCAAAACTATGGGCAAGACTCAATGACCTTAACTACTACTAATCTGGTGGAATGAAATGGACAGCTTAATCTTGAGCTGTCAAAGCAGCTAAATATTGTGCAAATCAATGACCTGATCCAGCAGTTTCCCTATGAAGGGAACCCCCACTGCAGGCACAGCAGCTTCCCTGGACGTTTTCTAACAATGCTATCTATGCTTTTGTCATATCCTGGTTACTGTGCAAAGATGGTGTTCTGGTGACAGTGCATTACTCTATCATTTGCCTTACAGTTCAGTTCCAATCTCTGTTATCAACAAGTTATTATTGGTCATAAAATTAATGTACCGGTTTCTTTGTAGGAGACTTTGTTTGGATTGATGCCCATGGGTACAATCTCTTCAAATACGCCAACTCGAAGGTCTGGGAAACAGTGAGCTCCTCCAGCACTGCTCTGGGAAATTAAAAATGAGGTCATGCCACCACATTAAAGACACACCAACAGATGAACAGATCCCTTGCTGAAACTCCACTGTATTTCGAGTTTCTAAATTCATGTGAGATGTCAATATAAGCAAGTCGCTTTGGGGGATTGGATGGCACGGGGGATTGGTGATGGCTTCTCCCCTTTCATGGTTGCCTCTCTGAATCCACCAGAGAGTGGTGGTGGTTCCAGTCCAGTTCCCAGTGGACAGTTATTCAAATCACTTTAAAAAAGTCAACTGGCCACTAATGGAGAGATGCCAAGGGCTGAGTGGGCCAGGGACACGGAGCCAGCCACACTCTGCTAGCAGTGGTTCCTCTTGGGCAGGAACAAGACCTGTTAGCAGGCAGTATGGGGAGGCCTGCCCTGCCACTGAATGTGGGAAGTCTATTTTGCTGATTAAAGAAAGGTTTTGTTATCTGGGGCTGGCAAGCTGGGACCATTCACCAACGCTAAATTCACGTCAAATTTAAAAGAATAAATAAAATTCCCTTCTGATCTCTGGCTCTGCTGGTGTCTGTGTGGTTCACTGCGATCTCCAGTCAGAATGATCCCTGACACAGAACACCGTTTGTCCTGGTGTGACTGTATGTAATGGCAATCTGCAGTGATCCATGAGGCTCACTGGACCCTAGTGTAATGCATGAGGGACTAGCCAGATTCAGGGTTTTACTAACAGCAACGTGTATGCAGGAGGAGCTCTGTGTGGGCAGGTGTGAGAACATGCCAATTGCACATGCTGGTGTTTGAGCTGGGAGAATGTGATGCAGGAGTGCACATGTGCAACTTCGCACATACACAGGTGAAGGCTTTGCTGGGGCCCTAATGAAAAAAGATTAAATCAGCACTAGAATTGTATAAAGGATTTTTAGTTTCATGATGCTCAATGATTCCATCTGATTGTCTTATTTACAACATACAAAAGTTCTCTCACTGGAGACAAAACTATTCACAGGACAGAAAATAATAATGAAACAAAACCATTTATCCCCAAATAAACTGTTCCTTGGGCCAATACTGCAGGAGCTGAATTCCTTGGGTTCAATGTGGATTTTTAGTGCAGTAACATTTATTTCTAAAAGAAATTCTGAGGATGAAAACAAACATTTGAGTAAATAATAACTGTATGTGGGTCCCTTTCTCTTACCTTGAAATCCTCTCTGCACAAAATCGTTTTGAACAGAGGGTGGGAAAGCATTGCCTCTATATAAAGACTGGTAGCTACTTTGCTTCCACCAACTGTCCCATTAATGCCTTCTGAAGCAATGCGCACCTAGAAGCCAGAAAGGAAAGCTAGATTAAGATCTAGTCATAATGCAAACCAATCAAAATGAAATTAATGAACCAGGACCAGCTGGGAATGAGAGGAGAGTTGTAGAAAAGTGTTCAGGAAAAGAGAAAAAGTGGGGGGGGGGAAACTATAGTGATCCTGAATGAGAGAGGAGAAGTGCAGCAAAAGAAACTGCAAGAGGAAGGAATTGTTCTATGCTCTGTACTCATAAAAAGGATAATGAGGAAGTCAGAAAACCTTGTGCAGGAGCAGAAAAAACAATTACAAGGAAGGGGCAAATTCTGCAGTAATTAGTCAGACAGAACCTCCAATGGGAGTTTTAACCGAGTGAGGACTGTGTCCCAATAAAGCAGGTAGAAAGAAAGGGTGAAAGTGCCTGTGTTACAATGAAATCTCTCCAACTCAGATGCATTATAGCTAGACCAATAGAGAATTTTTTTTTGAAGTGAAGACAATCTCAGAACGGATGGAAGCAAATTTTGACTAAATCAAGAGCGAGAGGAAAAGTATGCAGTTGACAAGGGCAAATGTAACGCCTGTCTTTGAGAAAGAAGGACTGAGAAACTACCAAGTAAAATATATGAGGAAAGAAGGGGAAATGAATGTCTCAGGGCATTTCACTGTGGTATCTAGGAGCTGCATAAAAAAAACCAGCGAGAATATAAAGGTGCTTTTTCTCTTTCCTCTTGGATAGAGGAGCATGACTTTGTCTATGAAGGGCTTTGGGGTTTATTCGGTTTTAAACACCATCAGATCTGGGAAGCATTTCATAGGACAGACATAGGCTGGTTTGTGAGCTCAGAATACTGTGCTGTTCTGGTCCCCAACCCCTAAGGATACAGAAAAGCTAAAGAAAATACAAAGAGGGGCAACAAAATTATGCACAGAGTGGGGATGAGAGACAGAATGACAGACTGAGATAAAAGGACATACAGTAGAATCTCAGCTACAAACACCTCGGGAATGGTAACTCTGAACAAAACGTTATGGTTGTTCTTTCAAAAGTTTACAACTGAACATTGGCTTAATACAGCTTTGAAACTTTACTATGCAGAAGAAAAGTGCTGCTTTTAGCCATCTTACTTTAAATGAAACAAGCACAGAAACAGTTTCCTTACCTTGTCAAATCTTTTTTTAGCTTTCCCTTTATTTATATTTTTTTTGGTAGTTTACATTTAACAAAGTACTGTACTGTATTTGCTTTTTTTTTTTGTCTCTGCTGCTGTCTGATTGCGTACTTCTGGTTCCAAATGAGGTGTGTGGTTGGCTGGTCAGTTCATAACTCTGGTGTTCATAACTCTGAGGTTCTACTGTAGTCCATCAAAAAAGTGTCAGGGGTTATGGACCCAGTTCATAAATAATTTCAAGGGAGCTAGACTACAAATGTCTGAAAAGGAACTATTTGTACTCTAGGAAGATAGTAGGACAAGAAGCAAAGATCTGAAGCTAAGGAAGGAAAAGTTTAGGGTAGGCACTGGGGAAAAGACTGAGGGAGCAATGGAGCAGCAGAACAGAGTAGCAAAGCAGGTAGTCAGGGCACCATCACTGCAGATGTTCAGGAAAGGCTGGAGATGTTCATGGTTTTATGTACTGTCGTATAGTGACTAATCCTACACAATGCTGGATGAGCCAAACCCCACCCAGACTTGGAAGGGTTAAATGTGCTGCTGTGAACTAAATCAGTCCCACCTGTTGCACTGGTCGGACGGGAAGGGCTGAAGCGGGGAGAGCCTGCTCAGCTGGGGGAGGAACACAGATGGACGCCCTTCATGTGGCGAGAAAAGCTGGGCTAGGACTGATGGAACCGCCCTGGCACAGGACTATTTGGAAGTACCTGGGACCTAGCAGGGTGTGTCTCACCTGAAGGGGCAGTACAGCGCTTGAGAGCTGAGCGCAGAGGGTGGATGGATGAGTAACTTTAAAGGGGCTGAGAACTCTCCTTTATTTTGTGGTTGTGACTTTGGACTCTGCTAGCCCAGAAGGGGATTGAGCTTTTGTAGTGACCTGGTTGGAGGGCTGAGACACAAACCACCAGAGTGGGCAGGAAACAGTAGTTGAAGAAACTGAGGTAGAGGCCGGCCTGCAGTACCATGCCTCAACATGAGGTGATGGACTGGGGCCCCTAATGTCTGTGAAGTTGTGAGCCACAAAACCATGCCTGACAAACAATCCTCCCCCTTATGCGGCTCTCCATTGTGCAGTTCGATGTAATTCGTTAAACACTCTGCTCTCTCCCTCCATGCAATAGTGCGATTACAGCCTGGCTCTCCTGGGCCACTGTTTCTCACTAAACAGAGACAAATATGGGGAGGGGAACCAGCCGCTCCTTAAAGACTTACCTTGCCAGTGAGATGAAGGTGCTGGCACAGAGACCTCTGCCAAGCACAGAGCCTCACTGGGTCTTTCACCTCCCGGTAACAGTAATATAACAGCACTTCTCCCACTCCACTGCCACAAGCGGGAGAACAAATAGGAAGAGTATTTTAGATTCAGCAGCACACAAGACTATGCAGTTAATACTGTTATTGGTGACAGACAGGGAATTCATCCTTAGAGAACTGGACAGTTTCCTCCAGGCTGTTGTCAAAAGGTTTTGTGGGGCTATGTTGTTTGTTTTCATTTACTTCAAGAAGTGGAAATAAGTCAGAGATGGTGCAGATCTCTATATCCCTATACTGGCCTTGCCAATGTTGACAAAAAAACTAACTAGCCCTGCATGGCATTTCATTGCCAGTAGCTCATATCTCATTTGCATTTGAGAACCAGATTTCTTTAAACACATGCAACGCGAGGACTTGTATTTTCCAGACATGTCAGAGGCTCCTTGAGGACTAAGGCTGAAGTTTGAAAACTAAACTTAAATTTGAATTAGCCAAGTGCAAAAAACATCCACGTTTTTTAAAGGGCCAATCAGGAGCCAAATTCTGAGGTGGTGTAAGCTGGGCTCTTACACTCAGACAAATGGTATAACCCACACGCTGGAGAGCCAGGAGAGGGTGACAGTAGAGGGTAGTTGCATATTCTCACCCTCTCCTGCTAGCTGCTTTCCTTGAGAGAAGCCTTTTTATGGCCTCTGAGTGTGTGAGTTCCTCCACCCCAGACCTTCTTTGACTCGGTTGGAAAAATACATAGATGGGGCCTGATTCTCCACCGCCTTGCATGGTGTGCAGTCATTTACAGCAGTGTAAAGTGGGGGTGAAATGCTCCCAGATCAGCATGGTGGGGCTTCACACTCCCTTCGCACAGGTCAGAATGGCTGCACAAGGTGAATTTAGTAAGTGGGAATGAGTCCAGGGGGCTCTAGGTTACTAGGGGGTCTAGAGGGATCAGACGAAGGTGGGAAGTTGCATCAACTAAGGCCTTGTCATACACAAAAGTTGCAACAGTTTAATTAAAACTAACTTTAAATGGCTGTAGTTAAACTGGTGCAAACAGTGACATGGATGCCTTTGCATTGGCTCACCCTAGGCTTACAGTGAGAAACACAGTTTTCATATTGTTGAGGCAATTTCTTACCTTGTCAGTTCATCAAAACTAATGTGGCTTGTGTCTGGGAGCCTATCAGAGAGCTCCTGGCTGTTACAGGTGGGACCGCTTAGCCTATCTGCCTCGTCTGCAGAAGCTGGGTTACTTGAGGTGCTGGCTTCAGCAGCCAACTGCTTTAGAATCACACCTGTCTGCTGCCGGATGTCACTGGAATGCTGCGTGGCGACGTGTATGTGAATGCCGGTGAGGTCGTTAAAGGTTTGTCTGCAGCATTTCCACCCCAGTCCCGCTCTGCACATAGCTGGAGGGCAGCTAGCTGTGACATGCACTTCCTTTGCTTTGACAAAGAGGGCAAATGCCTGCAATGCATTACAAACACTGTCAATTAGGCTTTGATTTCTTCCTAGATCCTGTCACACGACTCGAGACTGGATGAAGGACAAATCCCAGCGATGTGGTGCTTTTAAACAGGCTGCCCAGTTACTGGGCACGGTGTTAGGGTAAGTACACACCCTGGGATCCCTCAGCAATGCATTTCTTGTGATGCTGTCGCTCTGCCTTGCCAAGGCTCTTGGTTTCATTAGAAACAGCTGCCACATTAACCAACTGGAGAGTTATTCTCTGGGCCCAGCCTAGGGTACCATATTGGGAAGCTTTGCAGTACTAGGCCCCAAACCACAACAGAAACACAAGCACTTCCTCTTCTTTTGGGAACACTGTTCCAGTGCTGCCACAGCACCCCCATCAGTCCCCACAACCTGCACCTGCAGCCCCCCGACAGAACCCCCACTGCCTGCCTCACGGAAACATGCTGCTGCCCAGGACGCTGTCATGGAACGATATTTCCATGCATTCCAGTGACCTCAGCATTAACACTCCGATTTGTCATATAATCATAGTAAGTGGATACACCAATCAGCAACAACCCGGCAGTTTCCAGCCCCATCGACCCACTGTTGGAGTAATTAAGTCTTATGTTTTAAATATAACCATGCTCTCCTGTTCATGGACAAGCCCCTCAAGTACCCTGTGGTTCTTGGGACATCACACATTTGGAGGGCGGGTCCCACCATCTTGCCACATCCCTAGAATGTCCCACATCTTCTGCCCCCACCGACCTCTTGCCTGAGTGCATGCAGCTGCCTACCGCTGAGTCCAGTTAACTCCACTGCCAGGGTGGCTGTGTCTGCCCTCCCTGCTGCCTGGCCCCTGTCTGAGATGTGCACTTCCACCAGCAGCCCCCTGCCTGAGCCCAGGCAGCACGGGAAACACCTGCTTAGTGGGCTCTCCAGCATCACCCAGAGGAGGGCAGGGAGGTGGGATATGGGGCAGACTGAGGGAGGATGGGAAAGGGGAGAACAGTGGCTTGATAGGGGCTTAGACTGCAGAGGAAAGGGAAGGAGAGTGAGGTGTCACTTCAGGAGTCACAACCCTCTCTGCCTCCTATTTTGGGGGGCTCTGTCACACACGGCCGTTTGGGAAGATGTGTACATAGATATGTGCATGGCGCCACATACTATGTACATTCAGCAACCCCATGTGTCTGAGTAAGTGTAGCAGATGGTATCAGAAGATGCCTGCAGTGCATGTCCTTGTGTCTGAGCAGAGCTGAGCCGACCGCTGGGAGCCTTAAATATCCCCCCTCTAGCTTCTAAATCAGGGGTTCTCAAACTGAGGGCCAGGACTCCTGTTTGGAACCCCCTTTCACGTAGTTGAAAGCAGCTATCAAATCCCCCTCATTCTTCTCTTCTGTAGACTAAACAATCCCAGTTCCCTCTGCCTCTCCTCATACGTCAAAAACTTCATTCTTCGCTGTGAGCAGGATTACCGAGGCAGTCTCTGCACACTTAGATTTTCAGCACTGTTCGGTTTTACTGTAGCACAGCGATGCAATACATTTGGTTTAGCCTTGGAAATGTAGTGAGCATCCTTGCAGGGCATCTTGAAAATTTCCTTTCACATACAAACACCAGTACAAAAGTGGGGAATAACATTATTAAAATAAAACTATCCCTTTAATATGTCATATTTTTGTCTGATAAGGAGAGTCTTTCCCACCCATGATTGTTGCATGCAACCCAGTTGTTCGGTGTGGCCGGGTGCTGACTCACCGGCGCAGCGCCTCCTGCTGGTGGTCCAGGGAATTAGATCTTTTCCAGCTCCAGAGCACCCTCTTCTGGCTGATGTCTCGCCTGCCGCTGCCTCCCCCCATGTCCCTCCCAGACTCTTTGCCCAGGGGTTCTGCTCACCACATTACCCCCTCACACTGGGTCTCCCCTCCCAGGGGAACCCCCAACCCCCTATACCCACCTAGCCTCAGTGGCTACTGCCCGTCTCCATCTCGCCCCCGCTCCCTGGGGCAGACGCAGTCTGTAAACCCCTCACCATCAGCAAGGGGGGTTGGACCAGCTGCCTCTGCCTATTCCTGGGCTGCCCCTCTGCAGCCCTAGCACCCTTTTGTGGGCCCTTAACTCAGCCTGTAGCCTGGGGCTTTGCTAGGCTGGAGCTCCCCAGCTCCCTCTGCCCTTCCCCAGCACCGCTCCACCCTAGCTCCCCTCCTCAGCTTCCCAGGCAGCCATATCCTTCTCTCTCTAGAGACAAGAGAGAGACTCTTTCCTTCTGGCCCCCTGCCCTCTTATGAGGGCCAGCTGGGACCTGATTGCACTGGCTACAGCTGGGGCTGCTTCCCAATCAGCCCAGCTTTTCCTCTGCCACAGCCGCTCCTGGGCTGCTTTAAGCCCTTTAACCACCCTGCTACATTAGGATGTAGATATTTAGGCCTGTCTGCAAAGGCCTATCCTTTAAGAATTTAGGTGTATTCGTATTATTTAGCTAGTTATAAAGGTATAAAAGAAAGAATTAAAATCACTGTCTGCTGGTGTAAGAGCCATCTCCTACTGTCTGAGGCCTGGTTCTTAAGCTACGGCCTGTGGCTAAGCAGCAGAGACAGCCATAAGCCGGGAAGCCAATGGTCACGCCCTCACCCGTCACACTGAATTAAGGCAGTTTTGGGCTGTTCAAAAGGTGACTCAATCTATCACCTCCAGAGAAAGGGAAGAGCCTAGAAGATTTAAAGAAAACTCAGGGCATGGCTACACTTGCAGACGTAGAGCGCTTTGAGTTAAACCCGCCTTCGTAGCATGCAGCAGGGAAAGTGCTGCAGTCTGTCCACACTGACAGCTGACAGTGCACTGGCATGGCCACATTAGCAGCTCTTGCAACGGCCACAGAGAGCAGTGCATTGTGGTAGCTATCCCAGCATGCAAGTGGCTGCAACGTGCTGTTCAAAGGGGGGTGGGTTGGGTGGAGTGTGACAGAGAGTGTGTTGTGTGTATGTGGGTGGAGAGAGAGTGGGTTTTTGGGGTGCTGAGAGCATGTCAGCATGTTGTCTGTAAGTTCAGACAGCAGCAGATCTCCCTTACCCCCCACCTCTCTTTTTCACGCAGCATTCCACAGTAATGGTTGCTTTGTCTCGGAGCAGATAAGCAGCCGGCTGTCAAACTGAGCTTTCAAAGGGCATATCCAAAACAATGCCAAGAGTGGCCACTTGACTTAAGGGGATTATGGGACGTTTTCGGAGGCCGATCAGAGCGCAGTAATGCAACACCTCGTTCACACTGACGCTGGGGCGCTCCAGTGGGGGCGCAGCAAACGTTATTCCACTCGCCGAGGTGGAGTACCAGCAGCACTCTAGCCACAGAGTCAGAGCACTCTACATGCCTTGCCAGTGTGGACAGGTAGTGAGCTAGTGCGCCCCGGGGCTCCTTTAATGCGCTGTAACTCGCAAGTGTAGCCAAGCCCTCAGTTTGATAGCATCCTGTCTGGCAAGAACTCACTTATCAATAGCTGGGATGTGAAATCCTCATTTCTTTGTTGTTCTATCACTGTAATCCCCATTTCCCTATTGTTTGTCTGTATAATCTTTGTCTGGTTCTGTGATTGTTTCTGTCTGCTGTATAATTAATTTTGCTGGGTGTAAACTAATTAAGGTGGTGGGATATAATTAATTAGATAATCATGTTACAATATGTTAGGATTAGTTAAATTTCAGTAAAATGATTGGTTAAGGTATAGCTGATCAGAACTCAAGTTTTACTACATAGTCTGCAGTCAATCAGGAAGTAAGGGGTGGGTTGGAAATTGGAATCATGTTTTGCTAAGGGGGGGGAATGGGAACAGGGACATAGGCAAGGCTCTGTGGTGTCAGAGCTGGGAAGGGGGACACTGAGGAAGGAAACTGGAATCATGCTTGCTGGAAGTTCACCCCAATAAACATTGAATTGTTTGCACCTTCAGACTTCGGGTATTGTTGCTCTCTGTTCATCCGAGAAGGACCAGGGAAGTGAGAGGATGAAGGAATAAGCCCTCTAACACCAGTGATTTGTCAGTGTATTTGACAGTACTCAGTGTAACAGTCTGTTTCACTATAATCAGTTGCTATTGTTGTTTAGTCCAGAGAGGCAGAATCACTGTATGTAAAGTGCGTTTCACTGTTGCACCAGAGGACACCTGACCACAGTGAATGTGTGAGTCTTTCCTATAACAACATTAAAATGGGAATTTTTTTTTAAATAAGAAAATATTGCTCCACACCTGCAAAAATTGGCAGGAGGAAGAGGCAGATTTCGGATTGGAAACTTTTAATCAATTTTTTTCTTTAAACTGACTAGATTTCAAGTGGAGAATGTCTCTTTAAACATTGGTTTCTCTGTGTTTGAATTCTATGTTTCAGATTCACCTTTTCATTTATCCAACAGCAGCAAACCATTGACAATACTTTAATGCACTAACATCCTCTCTTAGGCCCAATTCCACAAACAGCTTAAGCATAGCTAAACTTTAAGCAAGTGTTTAAAATCCCTACCTATTCAGCAAAGCACTTAAATTTAAGCACATACTTAAGTGCTTTGTTGAATCAGGTCATTACATCCCCATTTGCCTTAAAGCAGTGGTTCTCAACCAGGGGTATGCGTAACTCTGGGAATACGCAGAGGTCTTCCCGGAGATACAACAACTCATCCAGATATTTGCCTAGTTTTACAACAGGCTACATAAAAAGCACTAGCAAAGTCAGTAGAAACTAAAATTTCATACAATGACATGTTTATGCTGCTCGATATGCTATACACTGAAATGTAAGTACAATATTTATATCCCAATTTATTTATTTTATAATTCTATGGTAACAATGAGAATGTAAGCCATTTGTCAGTAATAGCGTGCTGTGATACTTTTGTATTTTTATGTCTGATTTTGTAAGCCAGTAGTTTTTAAGTGAGGTGAAACTTGGGGGTACACAAGACAAATCATACTCCTGTCAGGGGTACAGTAATCTGGAAAGGTTGAGATCCACTGCTTTAAAGGTAGTAATTGCAGACTCCTTTCATTTAAATATGATACTAATGGAGCCAAATTATTTTTAACTTATTACTATAACAAGAATTAAAGGTGTAGCAGGAATGAGATAGGAACTCTGTAAAGCAAGTTCTTATAAGATAACAAAGAAATTGTGCAATTGCATAATCTGCATTATGAACATACGCAATGAAGTACTATACTAAAATGTACCTTCTTCTTTGCAAATGCATACTTCTTTCTGACACTGGTATCTGATTCCGCTTTGAGATTGCTTTTGGCTGTCAAAGGAAGAGGATCTTTCAAGTCCAGATCTGGAAATCTTAAAATACTGCACTCCACTTCATCTCCTCCATCCAGCAGCACAGAAGAAGATATCATTGCTGTGTCACTGCAGTTAGGCATAAATCCTGTTCTGTGATCTAGGGAAGATGCAGGCAAAACAGATTTGTCTATATTCTGATCAAACATACACAGCAAATAACGTATTATCAATACTATACATTCAAAACAATAAAAGCACACTGCTGACATACATTGCTAAAGGCAGTCTTTGTCTTCGCAGCCTTTGTCACTGCCCTACAACAGCAAAAAAGTCAGCCAGCAGCAAGCCTTAACCTTTTAAGAATTTAAGACCATAAAAACAGTGTTCACAGAAGTTACCAGATAGCTGTCTGGAGATCTTTATGCCAGGCTTTCAGAGACAGAAATTTTCAACTAAGCTCAGAACAGTAAGTCCCCATGATCTCTTCCTATCTCACAAGTTTTGCTGGATAGGGGTATACCGAAATAATCATGGTTTCAAAAACCCTGACCAGTTCATTGGAAAGTGTGACTGATCCATATGCTAAATACTGCATAGCAGGCTATGGATTTTGTGGCTCCCTCTTCTCTCTGCCTTCTCTGGAAGGTAAATGGTTCTGCTCTCTCTCTACTGGAGGAAGCATGTCTCATCTCACACCTCCTTCCTGGAAACACTTCACCTCAGGGACAATTCACAATTCACAACCTTTTTACAATAACTATACTGACAAAATAACAGTTATGGACTGCTCATCTTGATGGTGTTACTATTCGTACAAGTAAACCAGAACTATGTAAAACTGCTACAACGAGAGAGAGAGAGAGAGAGAGAGAGAGAAATGTGTCGTATCTGTGACACCAACATGCACTTCTTGTGTCTCTAGCCTCCTTGTGTCCATCTTGCTCCTCTTCCAGAGCTTTCTACTGGAGTGCAAGAGGAATTCAAGTCTTGCCCTGCCAGGGAATGTTCTGTACCATAGGGGACTTTCACGACACACACAGTATGAAATGCATTCAGTAGAGTTGGTCAGAAAAAGGAATTTCCATCCTGCCAGAAATGCCAACATTCTGAAATTTATTTTGGAACAAAAAGTTGAGTTTTTGAACATTTTCACAGAATGGAAATTCCAACATTTTTTGATTTGGAACATTTTGTTTTGATAATGTTGAAACACAACAGTAAAATCTAAAAGGTGAAATATAATATAGAAATATATTTAACATATAATGTCAAAACCAAATATAATAAAACAAGGAAGTCATTATGAATTATTTTTACCTTATCGAAGCAAAATGTTTTGACATAAAATCAAGAAAGCCAAAATAATTTGACACTTTGCTGTTGAAAATTTACATGTTCCTCCAAAATGTTTTTGGACAAAACTGCGTTTTCCAATGGAGAACTGTTATGTGGGGGGAAAGTTCAACCAGCTCTATTTTTTTCAGTGAATAACATACATTGAACAGATTGTGAGACAGTTTTACATTTGTAATTCCATTTGCAGTATGAAATCCAACAGGCAACTCCCTGAATAGTGTGAACACTTTAAGGCAGGGGTAGTCAATAAGTAAATAAAAAGATGTTGGGGTCTGTTTGAAAGCATCTGGTGGTCTGGATTTGGCCTGCGGTCCACCTGTTGACTACACCTGCGTTAAGGTACCATCTGGTTCCTGGTACAATTCCTTGTTTGATTTTTACATTGGAGTGGTGTGTGCCACATTCTAACAGGCAACTGACTTTTCCTGGTCCCTTGGAGAGCTAATTAAAGATTTACAAAGCCTAGAGAAAAAACAACGAAGAGTCCTTGCGACACCTTAGAGACTACCAAATTTACTTGGGCATAAGCTTTCATGGGCTAGAAACCACTTCATCAGATGCATGAAGTGAAAAATACAGGAGCCGGTATAAATACATGAAGCCTAGAGAGTCTCCCATATGGATGCATTTGCATGATTGCGCCCAAACTAGTAACAATGGCTCAGCTCCTCAAAGGCATTTAAGAGCCCAGCTTCCAATAATTTCAGTCAGGCACCGAAATACCTGTGATAGTATTTCACTCGCTGAGCGTGTAGCTTGGTGGTGTGGGTGTACCGCCCACCTGTGGCCAAGGCCAGCGCAGGAGCCAGACAGCGCTCGGGGTGTCTAGACACAGGAATCACCCCGCTGCACCCAGCCCCGTGGGCAACAGTAACAGAAGTGCTCACACCAAACACTGTAAGGCATGGGGGGAACCCGGTGGTTTAGTAGGGTTGCCAACTCTGACTGAAGCTATTCCGGGAGATTTCCCCCCAACATGACATAATGTCATTGTCTTAAAATCTCCTATTAAAATCTCCTGAATTGCTTTCAGTGGTCACCGGGACACGGATACCGACTCCAGGAGATGCCAGGCCAATCCTGGAGGGTTGGCAACCCTATGGTTTAGTCTGTCCAGCCACTGGTACCGTGAGCCTGGGCCTGACCGATGGGGCCATGCCCCCAGCCGTGCCCCCTGCACAGGGCCCAGGTGTGGGCTGCGCTGGCTGCACACAAGGCTGCGCCGCCCGCTCTGGGGAAAGCTTCTGCCATTGCCGGCAGCCCTGTGCTCCCATCGCCACGAGCCCGTCCCGCTCCTTGGCCTGTCAGCGCTGGCCTGGCTGGGCACTGGAAGCTGCAGGGGCTCAGAATCGGGCCCACTGGAGCCAGCAGTAGCTAAGACACTGACTCCACCGAGGGCAGGATCAGGCCTGTGCGGCGCGTGGGGGGGGGGGGGGGACCTCAGGATCGGGCCCATTGGTGCCCACAGGAGCTAGAACATTGGCTTCACTCCGAGGAGGATCGGGCGCTAAGAGCGCCTCAGGATTGGGCCCGCGGGAGCTGGGGGCGTCACGGGCCCGGGCAGGATCGGGCCCTTACTCGGGCCCCTTTTCCCGGGATGGGTTGCTTTTTCGCCTCCCAGGGACTCTGATACTTTCGCGACTGTCCCTTGCCCGCCCCGGACGTCATCCCCCGCCATACCATAGAGCAGCAGATAGAGCGGCGCTCAGTGCTCGCAAGGACGGGGGTGGGGGCGTGGCGTAGCGGCAACTCTCCCGCCGCCCTTTGCCCCGGAAGTAGCTCGCGGGCGCGGCTGGACGGAAGCTGGATTGGGAGGGGGCGGCCGGAGGGAAACGCTTCTAGGCGCCGCCAGGGCCCCTGCTCCGCGCCGCCTGCCTCGCGCCGCTCCCGCCTCCGCAGCCCGCGCGCCCGGCCGCCAGCATGTCGCGGCGGCGGCACAGCGACGAGAACGATGGTGAGCGGGGAGGGGCCGGCGGGGCCGCGGGGAGGGGAGCGCGGCGCGGTGGCGGGGCCCTGCGGTGGCCCGAGGGGAAACGCGCGAGCCGAGCGGCCGCGCAGCGCGAATCCCGGGGGCTGGGGCTGGAGCCCGGCTCGCTCTCCCGCGTCTCTCTGGTGTCAGGCAGACAAAGGCCGGCGGGGCCGGGGAGTGGAGCGGAGCTTGTCGCGCTGCCTGTAGCGATGCGAACCGGAGCCCGGCGCTGGCGCTGCGGGAGTTCGGCGCCGCTCCGAGCCGGGCTCCGGCCAGTCTGCGCTGTGCACGTGCTGTGCTTTGGGCAGGCGAGTAACCCTCCGGGCTCCGGCCACTTTAATCACCTGAGCAACGCTACGTGTAGCATGGAGTGTTTGCAGGCCAGGCGGTAGTTCTGTCCTGAATGTAGTGTGTGACGATGCCCTGAGCACTCAGCATAAAGGTCCCTGCCCCCTCACCCAAGGGTCCCCCAGTATATATTAGCTGTGTTTTTCCTTTGATTTCTTTGGTGAATATCTAGAGCGTATCTCCCCAAAATGAAAACATACCCGTAACAGTGCAAGGTGCTTTGGGAGAGCGTATTCGTTCATTGCCTCTCACCCTGGTATAATAAATTGAGTTCATGTTTCTGTTTCAGGAGAATTAATTTGTGACCTTTAATGTTCTGGAAGGCCTTTGCCTGTTATATTGTCTTGATTTATAAAGTACTGTAGTAGACACAATCTAGATGCCAAGAATTTTTGCTAATCTGTTTCACTTAATGGCAGTAGCAACAGCAGCTTTGAATCGCATTGGGGGAGGGATAGCTCAGTGGTTTGAGCATTGGCCTGCTAAACCCAGGGTTGTGAGTTCAATCCTTGAAGGGGCCATTTAGGGATGGGGGCAAAAATCTGTCTGGGGATTGGTCCTGCCTTGAGCAGGGGGTTGGACTAGATGATCTCCTGAAGTCCCTTCCAACCCTGATATTCTGTGATTCTGTGCCCTTTTAAAAACATTTTAAACTATATCTACCCCCACCTGCTTGTTGAGTGTGGCCTAGTATTCTACTGTGCAGAGCGCATCTGATTGCAATGGGGGTGTGTATAGGTGCCTGCAAGCATGCTAGCAGATTGTCACTCAGGAGTTGAAAATATTGTGAATCATCATTGTATAGTAGCCTCGACTATCAATATGCTGGCCCCAAATGTCCCCTTCCTCCCCATCACCACATAGATCTTCTTGGTTTTTTGACAACCTGCATTAGATGGAGAGAAGGTGGAAAATAAAGGCTGAAACAAAGAATTTCTGCCAGCCCACGCTGAGGCTGTATTACAGGCCACAAGAACCTTCCTGTCAATCTCTGCTGAACCTGTCAAATCATGTCTTAAGGAGCTAAACCACCTGTACCGAGTGCCTACAGCCCACACCAGCGCTAAGCACTGGGAAGAACTAGCATTCTACTTCACTGTAAAGGAATGCACACTTAGGAAGGCTTCCCAGACTGCACGGATCTGCTGTCATGCCTGCCCACAAACAGGCCACCTCGGTTTCCCCAGTTCAGTTGTACATGCAGCCACTAAGTAAATTGGTGAGATGACTGGATTCAGGTGCCAGCAATATACAGATGACAACCACCACTACCTATTCGTCACTGCATACAGCCCTGCCACTATCAAGATAGTCCAGTGCTTGGATGGTATCAGCTGATATGTGAACAGCTGGCTGAAGCTGAACTCAAGCAAGACAGATTATGGGGGTTGCTTTGGAGAATTTGCAGCCATGGGGCAGTCTTTTTATTAAAGGTACGTACACACCCACAACTGATCAGACTGTCCGTCTGTAGGTTAGCAACGCTCCTGGATTCCTTGCTGGCACTAATACTAATGTGATATACCTGGACATAAAGCCGTCAGTCCACCTATACAGAACGCTACAACACAGGTTACTGGGAGCACATTGAACTTGTCCTGCACTGTACACTGGCTTCTTAGAGAATCACATCAAGGTCTCAGTCCTTTATCTTGAAGGTGCTCAGTGACCTGGACCCAACATGTCTAAAAGATGAGCTAAAAAGCTCTGGCATGAGGACTGTGGTCGACAGCTTCACTCCCTTGGCACAATAGAATTTACTACCATAAGGGGAAGGTTCATCTGTGCAGGATGCAGACTCTGTGGCCAGTTCCAGGCTGGTCACAGCTCCTACGGAAGTTCGAAGGACCATTACAAACTTCGCCACCATTGCTCCAGCTGCAAGGGGCACAATTTCCACCTTGCCTTCTCTACCACCTATACAGCAGTGTGCAGCTTTTAAAACAGATGAAACTCTACTAAAATGAAGTACACAGTATGTACAGTTCTACCCTGGGGAGATGTTGAGAAAATGAACCACGTGTGATATCCATC